CTCGACCTCATGGCTGGCTGGAATTTTGTGTTTTTAAAGCTCTCTCCATTCTCCTGTGTTATTGGGCCTTTAGAAGCCAGTCAGTGGCTTGCATCATGGGAACAACCCTTGGATAACTTGCTGAGAACACTGGGCTGCTGGTGGCAGAGCTCTAGACCGTAGCCTAGTTCCCACATGTGCAGTCCCAGGGAGTGTGTTTATCAAGTGCCTTAGGGACAAAGGCACTTGTGCAAGAAAGGGAAGGACCTTTGGAAGGGTGGGGCCTTGTGTGTTCATGCTGTAGGTAGGCTCTCTTGAGTGGTTGGTAGACAGTGATTTGTGTGTTTAGGGACCTGGGTTTCCACCTGTGGGATTCCTAGAGCACATGACACACCAGGTGTGGTTAGTCAAGGCAGACGAAGATGGGATGCAGATCTGCTCAGCAGTGTCATCATGGCCATGGAAGTTGAGCGCCAACCCCCTCACTACGTGAGACGTCGTCTGGAGGGGCTCACACTAGCCCCACAGTGTCCAGTTATCAGGCTGGGTGTGATGGATTTTTCAATGAGAAACACTTTCCTACCCCCAGAGGTGCCTGAGAAATGAATTGGAAAGCCAACGGGGAGGGTAATCAAGTAGTCCAGTGCTGACAGAAGAACAATGTAGTCAGCAAATATTTGATGTCTACTATGTGCTGGGCATTATTCTCAATAATCTATTCAGTGGGCAAAACAGAAAAGTCTCTGTGTAATTGAGTTGGCCTTCAGCAAGGCTGGCAGGCAAGCAACAAAGCTAACGAATAACTATATCGTGTGTCTGACGGTGATGAGTTAGAGAGGAAAATGGAGCCGGTTTGAGGGCATGGGAGGGCTGGGTAGTTCCATAAAGGAGCGGTCGAGGTAGCACCAATTGAGGGGGTGACATTTGAGCAAAAACCTGAAAAAAATGGAAGGATTTGGTCACAAGGACATTTGAGGGAAGGGTCAGTGCCAGGCAGAGTCCTGAGGCGGGAATGTGCAGTGTATTCCAGGAAGGGGCTGGAGCCAGAGATGGGGCCGGGAGGCTAACAGAGGGCCGGATCTCAGGCCGATAGGAAGGACACAGGCTGTACTTGGGATGGGTGCAGGGCTGTCAGGTAAAAGGATCATGGTGGCTCATGTGGTGGGTCCACATACTTGAGGAGTAGGGACAGGAGCTGGGAGAGCGGCTAGAGGCTCTTGCAGTGGTCTAGGCGAGAAGGGACAGTGACTCTGACTAAGGGTGGTAGTGACAGGGTCAGAGGTGATCAGGCCGTCAGGATTGGGTGTATGCTTTGAATGAGCAGCCACCTTGATATGCTAATTCACTGTTGTGGAGAGAGAGAGAAAAGCTCTGGTTTTTGCTTGAACGAGTAGAATACAGAGTTATCACCAGTGGACGAGGGGAAGACTGAAGGTACAGCGTGGAAGGGAAGGACAGGAATTACTTTTTGGACACATGGTGCTAAGTCACCGGATGCTGAGGTGGGAACATCATGTAGGCAATTGGAGACACTTCCGGAGCTCCACAGAGGAGCCCAGCTAGAGCAGTGAACTGGGAGTTGCTGACACGTAGATGATCCGGTCTGTCTCTTCATCTTCACTCATCCCTCGGGGACTGCCCAAGAGGGTTAGGCTGAGGAGGAGAGCAGGAGCAGCCAGTGCAGTGGGAAGAAAACCCAGAGAGTGTGCCGGCTTCTGGATGCACTGGGGAGGAGGGAGTGGTCAGCAGGGCCAGGGCCTGCTGCTAGGCAGACAGCAGGATGGCAGGGCCAGGGGGCTGCCCGTGACGTGGAGCTTGGGGCAGACGCAGCCTGATGGTGGCTGGAGAGGAATGGGAACAGTTGTTTTGAGGAGTTTTTGCTACAAACGGAAGTAGAAAAAATGGGATGGTAGCTGGCAGGGCCATGGGGTCGAGAGGAAGTGTTTAGGACAAGAGGATTAGCGGGATGTTTGCTGCACCCAGCTGTGGAGAGAGAAGATAAGGCAGAAGAGAAATGAGGAGTCACCAGAGCAATGGCCTTGGTAGGCGAGCCGGTGGGATGGAGCTGCAGGTCAGGCAGCTTCTAGACAGGAGCACAGGTGGCGTGTCTATAGCTGATTGGGGGGTGCGGATGTTGCCAGCAGACAAGTTCGCCATGGAGAAAGAAATGAGGTTAGCCTGAGTGAAGGGGGCACAGAAGGGTGTCCTCATTTGGAAAACGAGAGGTGTGAGGCACTCCTCTAGGTTGGGCCCTCTCTGCCAGGGGTGTGGGCATGAAAGGGAGAGGGTCTCATTGCTGGGTGTTTCTCTGGGGTTTCTGCATGCTGAGCAGGGCATAACCAGACATCTGGACTTGTCCAGGGAGTGTGACAGAGGGGCGTGGGGCTGAATGCAAGGGGCCGGCCATCATAATTAGGGACACAGTGAAACAACAGTGGCGTGGCATCGTTAGTGGAGTGGAAGGCTTCTTGGAGCCAGGATCTCAGTCATGAGCTGTGGCAAGGGATTAAAACCAATCATCCTCAGACACCGTTACACCCACTCCCTTTTCTTTGTTTTTCTATTTCTTTTCATAAAAGTGGCAGTACTAACCTGTACTCACTAACCTTGAAGATTGTAGTGAAGTGTGCTACTGGTAACTGCCAGATGATCCAGTAATTCGCTAAGTGAACGGCATGGTTTGTAGCACAGCACGTACACGTGTTTCCTTCACACATAGCTCCTCAGGATCATTCCCAGTTACCAGCACGGTCCCTGCAGTGTGGGCATGCGCTGGAGGGTGGCTGCGGGACGCATGGGATCGCTCTGCCCCACATGTGGCTGTTGGTCTGCCAGGATCGTGGCTACTTTGAGGAGCTGATCTTGCTGCTGGAAGCGGCTCTGGGCTTGGAGCAGGCCCACATGGGCATGTTCACAGAACTGGCCATCCTCTACTCCAAATTCAAGCCACAGAAGATGCTGGAGCACCTGGAGCTCTTCTGGTCCCGTGTCAACATCCCAAAGGTACTGTGTGCTCCTTGCAGTCTGGCGGCTGTGGCCACATGCGGCACAAGATGACTCTGGCCTCCCTGTCCAGGTGCTGAAGGCTGCAGAGCAGGCGCACCTGTGGGCTGAGCTGGTGTTCCTCTATGACAAGTACGAGGAGTACGACAGTGCTGTGCTCACCATGATGAGCCACCCTACTGAGGCCTGGAAGGGGGGTCAGTTCAAGGACATCATTGCCAAGGCAAGAGGGGACACAGAGCACCGGCTTCTGCCAGGCCCTATTCTGGGTGTGGGGAATGGTCAGGTGGGAGTGGATTGAGTGCCAGTATGCCCCCATGCTGTGTGTGTGTCACTTGTGTGAGTCCACCACCCTCTGGGCAAGTGGTGGTAGTTCCATCTGTGAAGGAAACTGACACTTAGCAAGAGCAGGTGACCCATCCAGGGCCTCATAGCTAAGCTGTGGGCAGGGTCAGGCCAGCATGCAGCTGTGGCCCTACAGCCCTGCAGCCCTGCCTGCCCCTCCCCCCACACTATGCCCTCATGGCCAGGCCTCAGTTTGCTCTTCCTTCTGCCCTATCAGCTCAGGGCTCCCAGCCCCACTTCCCATGGTTGCTTTTCAACATCGGACTGTTTTTTAAATTCATGTCTCTTCCTACAAAATTGCCAGCCCTAGAAGAAGAGTTGCAGGCACCTGTGAGAGGCACAGTAAACACTCCTAGTGGGTGAAGGAGCCCAAGCCTGCTGGGACCTTTGGCCCTACCTGTCTGGGAGTGGGCCTCCATCCTGTAGCCTCCCTGGGCTAAACCAGGACCTGAGTTCCTCTGCCAGCTGCCACACTTTTGGGTGGTGTTGGGTTTGGGTGCCATGGTCAAGTGAGCCTTTGTTATTTTGTTTCTGGTCTCTTAGAGAGTTCACCCTCAGGACTCACCTCTCTCCAGCACTCTATGTGACTTCGGTGAAGGGGCCGGAATTCTCTATCCTCAGCCCCCATCCCTTTGCATTGGGTATCTGCACTTTGTGCCATGGTCCTTGAGTGACTAACTTGTCACTGTCCGCTGTGACTGGAGCAGCAAAGCAGTGAGCTGTGGCCTCTCTCATGCACCTTCTTTTCCACATGTGGCTACTGAGGGTGGCCATGAGTGGCAGGTGGGCTGCAGGGTGAGGCCTTCAGCCTCTGCCTTTCCTGGGAACTATTTGAAGGACCTCAGTGTTGATCACCAGGCCACACACCAGAGCTTCTTGTTGGAGGACATCCATATTACTGGGCATGGTGGGGCGTCTCACCCTGAGTGGAGTCTGCAGGTTGCTGGAGGGAGTGCAGCCAGATCACACCTTACCGTGGCCTGGCACGTATGGCTGGTGCTTTGTAGATATGTCTGTGTGCTGGAAAATCCATACTTAATCAATCCTGTGTGTACTTTATTCACATTTTAACTCCTGTGATACAAGGGTGTTTTTAAAAATTGCTGAGCCATGGTGGAAGTGGCCATGATTTTGTTTCTTAGTGGCATATAAAATAATAGCGGGACAGCTGAGACTCGCTGTGTGGGAGAACAGCATCTCTCATCTGCTGCCTGCAGGGCATTTCCTTGTGTGACTCATGATGCTTCTACTACCCACTGCCATGTGGGAGACAGACACTGTCAACTCAGGTGTGAAGGGGACAGGAGGACACTCATCGGTGCAGGGGCCAGTCCGATGGGTGACAGCCAGTGTTTTTGGGGCACACAATAACAGGTGCTTTGGAATCCACTTAGCCATAGAGCTGGGTCACAGGCTAGGCAGCGGCAGCCTGAGCAGGGGGCCTTGTTAACTCAGACAGGGGGTACCCCAGCTCAGCCATTCGCTGTCTCTCTCCATGTGGGTTAGGGGTATCACTGCTGTGAACCTCGTTATCCCATCAATACAATGGACCTCATGTTTCCCCCTGGCCCAGTGGACTATGGCAGGTGCCTGGCATCCAGTGGGTGCTTCCTGTGGGTCATGCAGCTCCGCACACCAGCCGGCCAACCTGAAGCCTGTGATAAAATGTGAGCTTCAGTTTTCTCTCTTTTTAAATTTTATTTATTTATTTAAGACGCAGTCTCACTCTGTCACCCAGGTTGGAGTGCAGTGGCACAATCTAGATTCACTGCAACCTCCGCCTCCTGGGTTCAAGTGATTCTCCTGCTTCAGCCTTCTGAGTAGCTGGAACTACAGGCACATGCCACCATACCTGGCTAAATTTTGTAGTTTTAGTAGAAACAGGGTTTCACTGTGTTGGCCAGGCTCATCTCTAACTCCTGACCTCGGGTGATCCGCCCACCTTGGCCTCCCAAAGTGCTGGGATTACAGGCATGAGCCACCACTCCTGGCCTTCAGTTTTCTCTTCTATAAAACAGGGATACTACCATGTCTTCTGGGGTGCTAGTTGACCATGCTAGTGGGCACGGGCCTGCCAGTGCTCCACGTCCTGGCACATGGCTGGTAGGCTCTCCCCATACTGTCTCCAAGCTTGGATCTGGAGGACTCTCCAGAGGGCCCCCGATTCCTCTTGTGGTGCAGAGGACTCCAGACCCCAGCAGCTTAACCCAGCAGAGATGTGTGTATCCCTCGAAGGCCTCAGCACCAGAGGAACTAGGTGGGAACATGACAATTGTGCTCCACCTTAAACGGTGTTCCGGCCATGCTGCATGGACCCGTTTAAAAGGCCCAGAGCACACATCGTCCCAGGTGTCCCACAAGAGAAGCCAGGACTGCTGGTGCCCCACTTCAAGTCTGCCCACTCACATGATGCCCCGCAAGAACCTCAGTGAAATGGGCTTGTCCTTAGATGGTTCCTCTCCTTCCAGGGAGGCCCAAGGAGCCTTGCAGTTGGTAGGGAAGCAGGTGGTGCTTTGAGGTGACTCACTGCAGAAGGTGAGCTTGGGTCCCTACCCGCCCCCTCAGCCCCACATCACACCCTGACTGCCCTTCTTTTTGTTAGATGTCTGGTTGAGACCCTCTGAGCTGGCCCTGCTGCTGCCGAGTAAAGGGCCAGCCTGGAAGGCTGACAGTTCCTAGAGCTCTGACATGAGTGGACCCACAGTGGCCTGTGGCTGAGTCTGGGGGCTCACCAGTGCCGCAGGTGAAGCTTTGTGATGAGGCCAGGTCACCATTCTGCTCTGCATCCATGGCGGTGGGTACTAAGGACCTTGCTGCCTGTCTGGGTCAGAATCTCTAGTGACTGTGAGTGCTCTAGAACAAAAGGGCAAAAGAAGGAGAAAGCAGAGACCCTGAAGTGGCCGGTAAGCCATAGAGGGGCCGCGACGGCACTCTGCGTCTGCCTCGTAGTCAGAAGACCTCACCGGGCCCCACATTTTTGCCAGGTGACCCAAACTTAGCGGTGCCAGAGGCTCCAATGGTGAGCACCCTAGGCTCCCAGCATGGCTTTAGCTCTAGCCATGTCCTGCGCATACCCCAGGGCCCTGCACACTCACACAGACACACTTACCACCACTGGCTTGGTTCATGGCCTTCTTGCTGGCATGTTCCCTGAACAGCAGAGCTGTGTGCAGACCCTGGACATGGATGCCACAGTCAACAAGCCACCAAATGACATCGCCGAGCAAGAATGGTGGCAGACCAGTGGGGAAAGTGCTAAGAGACAAAGCAGCCTGGCCAGACCTTGAGACCCAGGAGGACAGGCAAAGGGTCCACCTAGAGTGGTCCACTCTGCCTGGGCTGGCCATCAGGTCTCACCCAGGTTCTGAGCACCAGTGTTTCAGCTTAAAAGTTCTGGGGATGTCACAGGATGTGCTGTGCACTTGGTTACAGCTCAGGCTGAGCCTTCAAAGGAAGGCTGGGGTAATCTTGCTTGGATGGAAAGATATGGTGTTGTTTGGTTTTGCTGTTGGGCTCTGTTCTGGCTGATTGCACTTCATTCATTCATTCATTCAGCAGATACTGGTTGTGCATTGACTCTGCATCAGATACTAGTGTGGGTGCTGGGTTGAGGCAGGAAACCCTGAAGCTGGCCTCTTAAGAAAAATACTTGCTGTTTCAGTGCTAGGGGGAGAATATCCCTCAGGGATTTGAGGAGGCACATTCACAAGCCCCTGAGTCTTAAGGGGGTGGTCGTGGCAGGCCTCAGTAGTAAAGTTCTATTTGAGCAAAAACTGGAAGGAGCCCTGGGGTGTCTGGACACAGGGGCAGGGACTGACCCTAAGCTTCGTTCCTCCCACCAGGTTGCCAACGTTGAACTCTGTTACAGAGCCCTACAGTTCTATTTGGATTACAAACCACTCCTCATCAATGAGCTGCTGCTGGTGCTGTCCTCCCGGCTAGACCACACCCGGACAGTCAGTTTCTTTTCAAAGGTAAGTCAGCCAAAACCCCAGGTATTGGGCTAGCTCTGACAAAGTTATGTGAATGACAGCACCTTTGTAAAGAGTTTCTGAAATGACCCCCAGCCAACTTGAAGATTCACCAGTGTATCAAACCGTGTTAGATTTCAGATACAGGGATACCTCTTGTATCACACTTCACTTTATTGTGCATCTCCAATTCTGTGTTTTTTAAAAGACTGGAGGACTGTAACCCTGCATTGAGCAAGTCTGTCAGCACCATTTTTCCAACAGCATGTGCTCACTTTGTGCCTCTGTGTCACATTTTAGGAATTCTCACAATAATTCAAATTTTGTTATTATTACATATGTTATAGTGATCTATGATCAGTGATCTTGTTTTTCTTTTTTCTTTTTGAGACAGTCCTGCTCTGTTGCCCAGGTTAGAGTACAGTGGTGTGATCATAGCTCACTGCAACCTCAAACTCCTAGCCTCAAGCAATCTTCCTGCCTTGGCCTCCTCCAGTGCTGGGATTACAGGTTTGAGCCAGTGCACACAACCAGTGATCTCTGATGTTACTATTGTAATTGTTGAGGGATGCTCCTATAAGAAGGCAAACTTAATGGATAAATGTTGTGTGTGTTCTGACTGCTCCACTGATTGGCCATGCCCTGGTCCCTCTTCCTCTCCTTGGGCGTCCCTGTTCCCTGAGACAAAACAGCAGTGAAATTAGGCTAATCAGTCTGGGCATAGTGGCTCATGCCTGTAATTCCAGCACTTTTGGAAGCTGAGGAAGGTGGATCAAGAGGTCAGGAGTTCAAGACCAGCCTGGCCAAGATGGTGAAACCCCGTCTCTACTAAAAATAAAAAAATTAGCCGGGTACAGTGGCAGCTGCCTGTAATCCCAGATACTCAGGAGACTGAGGCAGGAGAACTACTTGAACCCGGGAGGCAGAGGTTGCAGTGAGCAGAGATCACACCACTACACTACAGCCTGGGCAAGAGAGTGAGACTCCATCTCAAAAAAAAAGAAAAGAAAGAAATTAGGCTAATTAATGGCCAGGCATGGTGGCTCATGCCTGTAATCCCAGCACTTTGGGAGGCCAAGGAAGGCAAATGACCAAGGCGGGCAGATCACCCGAGGTCAGGAGTTTGAGACCAGCCTGGCCAACATGGTGAAACCTCGTCTATACTGAAAATACAAAAGTAGCCCAGTGTGGTGATAGGCACCAGCTACTTGAGAGGCTGAGGCAGGAGAATTGCTTGAACCCAGGAGGTGGAGGTTGCATTGGGCTGTGATTGCACCACTGCACTCTAGCCTGGGCAACAGAGGGAGGCTTCATCTCAAAAAAAGAAAAAATAAGTTGTGGTGTTCTGTAGCAAAGTCAGGTGACTGTCCTTAACAATAACTTTTTGTGCATTTCAAGGCCAGGCACGGCTCATGCTATAATCCCAGCAATTTGGGAGGCTGAGGCAGGCAGATCACCTGAGGTCAGGAGTTTGAGACCAGCCTGGCCAACATGGTGAAACCTGTCTCTTCTAAAAATACAAAAAATTAGCCAGGCGTGATGGCGGGTGCCTATAATCCCAGCTACTTGGGAGGCTGAAGCAAGAGAACGACTTGAATCCAGGAGGCAGAAGCTGAGTGAGCCAAGATCACACCCCTGCACTCCAGCCTGGGCAACAGAGCAAGACTCTGTTTCAAAAAAAAAAAATTATTGTGCATTCAAAATAGCTAGAAGAGAATGTTCCCAACACAAAGAAATGATAAATGCTTGAGGTGATGGACATCCTAATTACCCTGATTTGATCATTCCACATGTGTATATGTATCAGAATGTCACATGTTGTCCATATGTGATATTGATACATGATAGTTGTCCAATAAATATGCACAACTATCATATATCAATAAAAAGATGAAAATGAATAAGGCATCATTATATAAGGAAAATTTTCATATTAACAGAAGTTTGGAAGAGGAGGATTCCAACCCTCATGGGTGACTTTGAGGGTTCAGGACTTCAGTGGAGGAAGTCACTGCAGATGCGGTAGAAACAGCAGGAGCACTTGAATTAGAAGTGGAGCCTGAAGAAGGGGTTGAATTGCTGCAATCTCAGGATCCAGCTTAAACAGATGAGGAGTTGTTTCTTAGGTATGAGCAAAAAAAGTAGTTTCTTAAGATAGAATCTCCTCCTGGGGCAGATATTGCAAACATTGTTGAAATTACTACAAGGGATTTAGAATAGTGCATAAAGTTAGTTGATAAAGCAGCAGCAAGGTTGGGACTGAGGCCAATTTTGAAAGATGTTCTACTGTGAGTCCACTGCTACTAAAGAGCACTGCACGCTGCAGAGCAGCCTTTTTGTTTGTTTGTTTTTGTCTTATGCAACGCAAGTCCAGAGTGGTCTTACACAAAGGGAAGGGTCAGTAAGTGAGGCAAACCTCACTGATGTCTTATTTTAAGAAATTGTATTCCGGGTGCAGTGGCTCAGGCCTGCAATCCCAGCACTTTGGGAGGCTGAGGCGGGTGAACCAAAAGATCAGCAGTTCAAGACCAGCCTGAGCCAACATGGTGGAACCCCTTCTCTATTAAAAATACAAAAATTAGCCGGGCATGTTGGTGTGCACCTGTACTCCCAGCTACTCGGGAGACTGAGGCAGGAGGATCGTTTGAACCCAGGAGGCAGAGGTTGCAGTGAGCCAAGATCGCACCACTATACTTACCTGGACAACAGAGCGAGACTCCATCTCAAAAAAAAAAGAAATTGGCCAAGCACGGTGGCTCACGCCTGTAATCCCAGCACTTTGGGAGGCCGAGGCGGGTGGATCACGAGGTCAAGAGATTGAGACCATCCTGGTCAACAAGATCAAACCCTGTCTCTACTAAAAATACAAAAATTAGCTGGGCATGTTGCCATGCGCCTGTAGTCCCAGCTACTCGGGAGGCTGAGGCAGGAGAATTGCTTGAACCCAGGAGGCGGAGGTTGCGGTGAGCCGAGATCGCGCCGTTGCACTCCAGTCTGGATAACAACAGCGAAACTCCATCTCAAAAAAAAAAAAAAGAAAATAAATTGCTGGCTGGGCACAGTGGCTTACGCCTGCTATCCCAGCACTTTGGGAGGCCAAGGCGGGCAGATCACCTAAGGTCAAGAGTTCAAGACCAGCCTGGCCAACATGGAGGCACCCCATCTCTACTAAAAATATAAAAATTAGGTGTGGTGGTGGGCATCTATAGTCCCAGCTACTCAGGAGGCTGAGGCAGGAGAATCGCTTGAACCTGGGGGGCGGAGATTGCAGTGAGCTAAAATTGGGCCACTTCATTCCAGCCTGGATGAAAGAGCAAAACCCTGTCTCAAAAAAAAAAAAAAAAAAAAAGGAAAAGAAATTGCCACAGCCTCTCCAGCCTTCAGCAGCCACCACCTGGATGAATCAGCAGCCATCAGCATTAAGGCAAGACCCACCCCAGCAAAAAGATTACAACTCACTGAAGGCTTAGATGATTGTTAGCATTCTTTAGCAATAAAGCATTTTTAATTAAGGTGTGTACTCTGTTTCTATAGACATAATGCTGCTACACACTTAACACGCTGCAGCATAAATGTTGGTTAATATGGCTCACTTTATTGAAATCACTTTATTGTGGTGGTCTGGAACCAAACTGCAGTGTCTTTGAGGTGTGAATGTCTATGGTGACACTGGCATCCACTGAATGTTCCAGACAGTCCTCTTTGTGTGAGTATCGGCCTTTTGGTTCTACGTGTCCAGAAAGTGTCCCTGGCTCCAGAGCTGGCCTATTCAAGTGGATGACGTGCGTGTGCCCACCTGTACCCCTGCCTAGTATCCCCAGAACAAGCTTGGCCAAGTGCCTTGATGTTTCCCCCAACTTGTCAGGCAGGTCAGCTGCCCCTGGTGAAACCTTACCTGCGGTCGGTCCAGAGCCACAACAACAAGAGTGTGAATGAGGCGCTCAACCACCTGCTGACAGAGGAGGAGGACTATCAGGTGGGTGTGCAGGAGGGAGCCCTATCCCAGGTGGGCTGGACTCCTCCACTGCAACTGCCATTCTGTTCTCAAAGCAGGCCCTGTGAGACACCAGTGGATATATGGGTAGGGGCCTTTCTAAGGCCATGGTGATAGCAACAGCCATCAAGTAACACGATGTGCCTGCTCTATGTGCAGGCAGCCCATATCAGAGCCCCATCCCTCAAAGGCTATCTTCCTAGGGCTTACGGGCATCTATCGATGCCTATGACAACTTTGACAACATCAGCCTGGCTCAGCGGCTGGAGAAGCACCACCTGATGGAGTTCAGGCGCATTGCGGCCTATCTCTACAAGGGCAATAACCAGTGGGCCCAGAGCGTGGAGCTCTGCAAGAAGGATCATCTCTACAAGGTTGGTGTCCTGGGCCCCTGTTTCCTTCCACCCTCCCGCCTCAGTGTGCTCCCTGATGCTTTGGGGATCACACCCCTTCCCTCTTGTTCCTGAGACCTGACTCTGAGCTTCACCAGGAGATCCTCATGGTGGGTGGTGGGATTGGTGTTAAGGGGAGACTATATTTAGAAAATGGGGTAAGAGGTGGGAGTGATCTAAAACCCCTTAAAAATCGTTTGGATTGAGAGACTTACAGAGCCTTATGGAGTTATTTTCCTGGTAGTTACGTGTGAGTTTCACTCTACCAAAACAGTGTGGCAAGATTCACTTCTTGGTACCCACTTTACTTCCTGTGAAGATTTGGGGAATTACCTGTAATTTCAGTGCTTTGGGAGGCTGAGGTCGGTGGCGTGCTTGAGCCCAGGAGTTTGAGACCAGCCTGGGCAGCATGGCAAGACCCTGTCTTTCCAAAAACTTCGCTGGGTGTAATGATGGATATTAGTGCCAGCTACTTGGGAGGCTGAGAAGGGAGGATCACTGTAGCTCAGGAGTCGGAGGCTGCAGTGAGCTGGGATCACACCACTGCTCCCTAGGCAACAAGGAATTTAAAAACCTAAATTAAAATTAAATTCAAAGGCCCAGCAGTGGCTCATGCCTTTAATCCCAGCACTTCTGGAGGCCAAGGCAGACAGATCACTTGAGGTTAGGAGTTCAACACCAGCCTGGCCAATATGGTGAAACCCCATCTCTACTGAAAATACAAAAGTTAGCTAGGTGTAATGGTGCACATCTGTAATCCCAGCTACTTGGGAGGCTAAGGCAGGAGACTCGCTTGAACCCAGGGGGCAGAGGTTGCAGTGAGTGGAGATTGCACCATTGCACTCCAGCCTGGGTGACAGAGTGAGACACTGTCTGGAAAAAAAAAAAAGGAAAAAAATAAATAAAATCACATTCCAAACATTTGTTTCAAAGCTGGATACAGTTGTATGCACCTGTAGTCTCAGCTACTTTAGAGGCTGAGGTGGGAGGATCACTTGAGAGGAAAATAAAAAAGAATGTTTTTCTGCTGGTGAGAGGTATCTTAGTACCATTCTTCGACTGGGGTCCAGGCATCTGCTAAGCAGGCTGGGCTGCCTGGAGGGACCACCAAGACCCTGCAGGCATTAACATCCTCTGCTTGGCCTGAACAGCTGCCTGGGGAGTAAGGTGGAGTTGTACCAGAGGGTCTTTGTCTGTGCTGTGTTACGCAGCTGAGCCAATTCCCAAGGTCTCTGTGTTCCCAGAGACTCTGGACTTGACCTGAGGGTGTTACTTCTGGACTTGGCCTTCATTCCTGAGTATCTCCCCAGGACGAATGACAGCCGCCACCTCTTGTCCAGCACAGGGGCTTCATTCTCATGGCTCCTGGGCTGTGGCTCTTGGCTCGGACTCCATGGAGGCCTATGATCCCTGGCATCAGTTGTTGCATTGTGTTTGACCCTACTTTGTCACCTCCAGTGTTTTGGAGTGTTCTGTGACATCTCCTAGCCCTTAGTGACAGTGCTTGTGATCCTTCCTGAGGTACCCACAGGGCCCCTGAAGAGGGAACAGAAAGGAAAAGCTGCTGAGGCTCTGGGACCCCACGTGGAGGTCTCTGGACTTGGCTTCTGGGAAGAGGCAGCTGGGCTCAGACACTGCCTCTTCTGAGGAAAGGCCACCCTCGGCTGGCTGGTCACAGCCAGTCTGTTGACACTCAGGCAGTGATGAGTGAGCAGGGCTGTAAGTGCTGCCAGCCACCCACTCCAAGCCACGTGGGCCCAGAAGAGAGTCCAGAGGATAAAGCCACAGATCGAAAGTAGCTGAGTATACAGTGGCTCTCAGCCAGGGGCGACTGTAGCCCCAGGGAATGTTTGGTTGTCACACCACAATGAGGGTGTGGTGCTACATGTAGGAGGTAGAGGCAGGATGGGGCCCACAAGCCCCGATGCACAGGTGGCTCCCCCCAACATACCTCCCAAGGTTAGCACTGCCATTGAAGGAGCCTACCCTGAGGCCAGAGATGAAGCTTCTTGGAGTGTTTCTGGAGGGGTAGCCAGGTCACAGTGTGTCCAGTCAGGGGCAAAGCCATCCAGCAACAGACAAACGTATTTCTAGATGACAGAAGTAGCATTTAGATTAAAACTTGGTCAATGGGGTCCTCCTACACCCACCAGTGAAGAGCAGGGTCCTGCGGAAATGCAGGTGTAGACTGGAGAGCTGGACACAGGGATGGGTCCGGGATCGAGCTGCCCTGAGAGTGGCATGGGCCAGAGTGGCGATGAGAGAAGAGGGTATGGGAGAGCCTAAGTCGAGCTGGCTACAGGCCGCAGGAGCAGGAGGCTGACTGGGAGCTTCCCAGGGGCTGCTTCTATTGGAAGTCCTCGGGGAAGCCAGTGAGACAGTCTCTGAGGCCCACAGAGGAGGGACAGAGCGGTGCCCACTTTCGGCACATGTGGAGGACAAGTCAGCAAGGGTAGGCTGGGCCAGTGGAGGGCACGGCAGGGAGAATACGTCACAGGCCCTCAAAGTGGCGACCGAAAGGTACCTGGAGCTCTCACTTGAGGGTCAGAATCCTGGTGCCTTTGTAGGAACAGTGTGGGGCAGGAGGCAGCGCTCGGTGAGCAGCATGCTGGCAGGAGAGAGTTCTTTCCGGAGCCGGCTCAGCATGTCAGATCCATGTGGACAAGTGTACTGGGTGTCCTCAGAGGCCTCCCAAGCAGAACTCAGAGGCATGTGCTGTAGGTATGGCGGGTATGTGGAGCTGGGACTGCCACAGGGTATCCTTGGAGAGCACAGGTCATGGGTCAGTGGGTCATGGCCAACTCCAGGTGGAGTGGCCTTGTGCACCTGATTTCATGTGGGTCTCAGGTTCCTAGTCTCAAAAAGGAATACTAATAGCCCTTTCCATAGAGGGCTGTGCTGGAATCAGGTGATCCAGTGCCTGCTGTGGGGCTAAAAACTAGAGAATGGCCACAGAAAGTGCTGACTGGTCAGGACTGGTCAGGTGCAGGTGTTGTCAATGATACTGTCTTAGACAAATGCATTTGCAAGGATGAAAATAGTTAGGGGATCTGAGCCACCTGAAGGCAAAGCAAACTGCTGTTTCTAGAGCAGTAGCCGTATCCCTCCTGACTGCTCCCCTGGTGTCACGCTCCATGGGCCTGAGTACACTTCTGCAACACCCCAGCAACCCCCAAACTCCCCATCAGTGCCTGCCTCACAGCAGCCCATGCACGCTCTCTGCCCTCAGGGCCAGAGTTCCTGTCTCCCATGGCACCTGTGCCTCTGTGAGGCACCTGCAGGCAGTTCCGAAGGGACTAAGAGGACCATGCTCTGTCCCCTCCAAGCCCCTGGAGGTGGTACCAGTGGGCAGCAGGGTGCCGGGAATGGCTCAGCCATGGGTCCAGACTTGCTCCACAGTGCGGGAAGGCTTTTGTGGAGCCTGGTGCCACTCCCTGCGCTGCTGGTCCAGCTGCTGCAGGCACAAGGCCTCTGCTTGCAGGATGCCCAAGCAGGCGTTTGCCTTGGCTACAGGATGCCATGCAGCATGCCGCAGAGTCACAGGATGCTGAGCTGGCCCAGAAGTTGCTTCAGTGGTTCCTGGAGGAAGGCAAGAGGGAATGCTTCACAGCCTCTCTCTTCACCTGCTATGACCTGCTTCGCCCAGACGTGGTGCTCGAGCTGGCTTGGAGGCACAACCTCATGAACTTGGCCATGCCCTACTTCATCCAGGTGATGAAGGAGTACCTGAGCAAGGTAGGTGCCAGGCCAGCTGCAGCTCCCTGGCCTCTGTGTGGCATGGCCCGCCCCTGGCAGTGACTGGCCATAGGTCTGCTGGGTCCTTAAGGGTGGGCCCATTTGAGGCCAACCCAGCTTGCCCAGCGAGCTCTGGCCTGCCTTCAGGAGGGGCTGCTTTCCTTCATGCTCAGGTGGTTTTCTGTCCAACATTAAGCTCCTCCAGAAAATCATCATGGGGAGTGCCCACCTGCAGACCCTGCCAGGGCAGGTGCCCAGTGGGCACACTGCTGGGAACACAACAGGCATGCTCATCCCCAGCTCTGGACTTCATCAGGGTGACAGTGAGGTAGCTGGCAATCCCAACTCCCTGTGGAGCTCCCAGTGGCGTCTGGGGGTGCAGCTGTTAGCATACCTGTTGGTGGTAGCTGCCTTTTGCTGAACACATAGTAGGAGTATTCACAGATGCACTGAATCCTTCTAACAGCTATAGGGAGGATGACTCTGTCTGCTTCTTCGAAATGACAGTATCTGATTATAAAGCTCTCCCTGGGTGTTGAAGTCCTAGGAGTCCCTGCTGGAACCCAGCTTTAGCCCCTGTCTAGAGACCTGTGTCAGCAATGTCATCTGGTGCAGTTTGTTCTTTCTAACACTGGAAAAGCCACCTCTAGTAGCATCTACGTGCCCATCTAACCTCCTTCAGCCAGATGGAAACCTTCGGAAGGCACTCATGCTGAGGCATCACTCAGTGGAGCAAGGGAAGGGAGGGGCCTCCCAGGGGAGTGGGAGGTAGGAGAGAAACCGGAAGGCAGGCCCATGCTGCCTGCTTTAGCCTCCAGGGGGCTGCCCAGCCCCTGATGAAGGCCATCCCAGGGGTCACACCCTCCTGTAGGATAGTGTGACCCCATCCCATTTGCAAAGCATGCCTGAGTGAGACTCCCTGATGACTCTCAAGGGGTGGGGAGGAGGGGGCAGCCCTGACCACGTTGCCTGAGATTAGTGGGCTGCCAGGGGACACAGGCTGATTGGATTGACAAGGGCCCTGGTTCCCCCACCAAGTGGATGGCAACTCCCTACAGTCCGTGTGTATGGTGTGCGGTGTGTGTTGTGTGCCTGTAGAAGCTGCTCTCACCATGATGAGCGGCTTTCCAATCCCTCAGGACTTTCCTGAAAGTAGTCTGTGTTCTGAGAATCTGCACAAGGAAGGAAGAATGTGCATGAATCTCTTCCTGACAGTAGAGGCCCATGGGCTAGTGTTGGAGGAACTCAGGCTCACCCAGGCCTCAGGGATGTCATTGCTGTGGGGGTGCCCAGGACTTTGAGGAGCACGTTCTCTTTCTGTTGTAGATGACTGAGTTAGCAGCCGCTATCACCTTTGTCCACACTGTGGCAGCACAGCCTTGGCCTGGGTTTCTGAGACTCCACTGGCCCTGGGAAGTGGTGGCTGCTGCAGCACCTGCCCTGCTGCTGCCCACCTATTCCTGCAGGGGCAGATGAGGTGCCTGTCATGGGGAGAGTTCAAGGAGAGGAGGGGGCTGGCAAGGGGTTTCCCAGCCAGTGGTGTGGGGGTGTAAGCTGATTCTCAGCTTGAGCGGGGGCCCAGCTGACTCCACACAGCAGTGCTGGGAGGATGAGGATGCGGACAATAAGTACAGTCCCTTCCTGGTGGACAGCAGGGCCCGGGGCCCTGTGGCTCATCTGGGAAACTTGAGGGTCATCCCTCTGAGACGCCCCCAGTGCTCTTCCAGTGGAGGGAGGGTACAGGCCTAGCTCAGCCCTCAGCCTGAGTGTCAGCAAGCTATAGGTAGCAAGGACAGGCAGCAGGGCCAGTGCACCTGTCCTGCTCCCTCCTCACCTCTCAGCCCCCAGCCCCCAGCTCACAGGGGCACATCCTTGTTTCTCTTTCTTACTCAGTACTTTCGTGAGGGGATCCTAGCTGCACAGTTGCTGCCGCCTCGCTCTTTGGCAACGGGCAGGGTTGGTGCCTGGTGAAGCCTCAGGGAAGAGTGAGGAGGCAGTTTGTCCTCAGTGCTTCTCAGGTGAAGTGTCTAGGTGCCAGGTGACTTGTCTCTGAGCCACATGATCTCTCTGCTAGTCAGGAGGGGTGGGCAGACTGGACTGGCTGGAGTCAGAAGCAGGTATTGTTCCCTGGCATGGCCCTAGCCCCGCAGGTTGGTAAATGGCAATGTCCTTGTATCTAAACGAGGACTTGGCCCCCATGAGCAGGCCACACCCTCAGCCTGTAACAAATGACTGCCCCAGTGCCCACTGGGAAGCCCTGGGGACCCTGCTGGGCACTCTGTCTCAGCCAGCTACCAAGGCTTCACCTCTCCATGCCTTGCTGCATTCTAAAAGTGCATGGGGTATGGGCTGGGCCGCTCCACATCTGCCTGTGTCCACCTCCTCCGCTCTCACTCTCCTGGAGGCCCTGTGTCCTGATCTTCCACTCCACATTCACCTAGGGGCTGGGACTGCACTCTGTCAAGCGGCTGTTTACATGCTCTCGCCTCCTTGCAGGTGGACAAACTGGATGCCTTGGAGAGTCTGTGCAAGCAGGAGGAGCATGTGACGGATGGAGCCTGCCCCTCTCATGTTTGGTAGGTGGCACCTGTAGCCTCCAACCCCCTGAAAAGGGAGCAGGGAGGGATTCAAGTCCCACTGCCCTTTCCTGGCCAGGCTTTGGATGGGGATGAGGATGGGAATGGTTGGGTGGGGGCCAGAACAATCCCAGTGGCTGCCGGGTGTGGAGAAGCGTATGTCCAGGAATTTGGCATGGCCACTGTCCTCCCTGCTGTAAAGGTGCCTGCCTCGCTGTGAGCTGCTGCTGTGTCCTGCCAGGCCTGGCCCCCTGGGCAGCAAGGCTGCTGCTGGTGTGTGCTGGGAGGGGCTCTGCACCTGAGAACCTGCCCAGGGCAGCCTAGCTGTAGAGCAGACGGGAGAGGCCGTGGGGTACTGGAACACCGCGGGGGTGGTATGAGTGTGCAGCACACCGTCGGTCTCAAGCCTCCTGCTGAGTGTGTCCCTCCACCATTAATAACCAATCTGGTTTTTTTAGATTTTGATGGGCATGAATGAGACCCAACCAGTTGCACTAAGTAAGTGTCCCATTTGGGGACTAGCTTACCCTCAAGCCAGGCCAGCCTCTCTGGCTGACCCCACGCTCCTTGCCTCTCGGTGCTTGCTCCCTTGGTGCCTCAGCCTCTGGGTGGTAAGGGCTGGTCCTGTAGACCCTGCTCCCTGGGTCCTGGGCTAGTCAGGGGCAGCCGGAAGAGGACCCCAATGGACAGGAAGAGCTCTGCTCATTATGGGTGACCCCCTCTGCAGGCCAGCAGCTGATGCTGACAGCAGGCCCTGCCGCGGCCCCAGCCCCTGCCAGCTTCCCCTTTGGATATGCCGCTGCTCCTGCCTTTCTCCAGCCTCTCATGTACAACTTCCGCCTGTAGTGGGCGCTGTCTCCACCCACTCTACCTGCAGAGTTACTAACTTCTCCAAGGAGCATGTGACTCCAGCAGCACTGGAGCCCGCAGTGGGAGGCAGGGACACCTGGACGTTATTTATTTTTGCTGAAACCCAGTGATGGCAACCTCTGAGCCATCCCAGAGTCTGGGGAGGCCAGGTTAGAGGCTGACGGTGCAAGACCAGCTTCAACCGCCAACAAGACTGGACTGTGGGCTCTTCTGCTGGAGCCAGGCATTCCTCGTGGGTGTCCCCCACTGGCTGGAGCTGCCCCCTCCAGGCCAGTTTGAAGACAACGTGACTTATTTGGAGGTACCAGGCCTCATAACAGGACTCCGAGCCTCCTGGCGATCATAAATATTAAAGTCGGTTTTTCCAGGAAAAGGTGCTCTGCTTGGTGCTGGTGTGGGTAAGGAGGGAGAGGGGTCAGTTTCCTGGGCCCCGCAGTCCATTAAAGATTTGCTGGGACCTCTTTGGAGGGTGTGGGATCTGCATTGCCCAGAGAAGCCACCTAGGAGAATACAGCTGCTTGTATTTGGGGTCTTTCCTGACCGTGCTCGCTGAGTGCAGGAACTCTAAATCCCGGAGAGGTGTGGGTGGGAACCGCCAGGTGAGGCCGGGCACATGGCCGCTGCGGGAGGGGCCCCGGAGGTGCAGTGCCTTCTCACCCGCCTCCAGGTTCGTCCAGAATGTTCGAGTTCCTCAGGGACGGGGCTAGCCCCAGGTGTTTTCAGGAAAGGTGTGGCCGTGGCCTCCTGGATCCCGTCGCTGTCGGCAGTCGCGCAGACCCAAGGCCCGCTCCCCAGCGCCCTTCGCCGCGCGGCACACTTTGCACCTTGATCCATAGCTCGGGGCTGGGCCATAACCCTGCCTCCCGCAGCCCCGCCCCTGGCCCCGTCGCTCGCCGTCGCCAGGGTCTCGGCCTCAGCCATTGGCTGCGCTTTAGCCCCGCCCCTACGCCTGCCTCGGCGCGCCCCGCCCCGGCCTCAGTTTCCCGGCCCGCACCGGGCGGGCCAGGGGCGGAGCCCGGCTCAGACCACGCGGGGCGGGACCCGGAGCTGACGCGGCCGCCCCGCCCCCGAGACCATAACCGGCCGCCGCCGCCACCCCAGACCGAGCGCGGAGTTCAGGAGGCTCGGACCCGAGTTCGCCACCGGGCGCCCCGCCTGCCGCCCGCCATGGCCGCACCCCGCGGCCCGCGAGCTCTGGCGGCCGCCGCGCCCGCGTCCGGGAAGGCCAAGCTGACGCACCCGGGGAAGGCGATCCTGGCAGGTGGGCCCCTACGGGATGCGGACCCCCGTCCCGCCGCGCATCCGGGTGGGCGCGGGACGCCGAGGCCCCGCCCCACTTCCGGGTTGGGCCGTGGGTTGGGGGTCGTGGGGGTGCGGTCCTGGTCCCCACCCGCCGCTCGGGGCTCGCCCGCCTGCCGCTTGTCACCCCTGCGCCTCGCCGGGACAACGGGGTGGGGGCGTGGGGCCCCAGCCTGGGTTCCCGCGACACTGGCGTGGCGGCCGCGCCGGGCAAAGTCCGGGACGGGGGAGGGGCCCGAGCGCCGGCGGCCGGGCCAGGATCTCAGAAGCCGGTGCCGGGTCCCCACAGGCGGCCTGGCGGGCGGCATCGAAATATGCATCACCTTCCCCACCGAGTACGTGAAGACGCAGCTGCAGCTGGACGAGCGCTCGCACCCGCCGCGGTACCGGGGCATAGGTGAGGAGGGGAAGGCCGCAGGGGGCGGGCATCCAGGGCGGCGGCACGAAGGGCGGTGGGGTCCTGACTGCCCCCTTCCCCAGGGGACTGCGTGCGGCAGACGGTCCGCAACCATGGCGTCCTGGGCCTGTACCGCGGCCTCAGCTCCCTGCTCTACGGCTCCATCCCCAAGGCGGCTGTCAGGTGAGGCCCGGCCCGGGGCTGCTGCGGGAGGGGGGCTAGGCCACGGCAGCTCCTCTCACCCGCCTCCCTTCTCCAGGTTCGGAATGTTCGAGTTCCTCAGCAACCACATGCGGGATGCCCAGGGACGACTGGACAGCACGCGCGGGCTGCTGTGCGGCCTGGGTGCCGGCGTGGCCGAGGCCGTAGTGGTCGTGTGTCCCATGGAGACCATCAAGGTGGGGAAGGTCTTGGTGAGGACCCCGAACATGCAGGGAGTAGCGGGAGGGGCGGCTGCACTGGCCCTTTGCTCCAGGGACAACCAGCAAGCTGGGGAGGGTCTCGTGGGTGCCAGGGACGATCATCAGGGGGTGATCGCGGGGCCCTGGGGCAGGACGCCTGCCAGGAAGGGCCGCCTGTGGGAGCTGAGGCTTTGCTAAAGGCAGCCTTAAAGTTTTTATAAAGTTCTTTTATAAAACAGAAAACAAATGACACGTTCACTGCCAAAACTGGAAAAAAGCAGCAAATGTAAAGGTAGAGTCTGGTTATCAGGGCTGCCCTGTGTCCCAGGGCATGGTCAGTGTGGGTGGCCTTAGCGCTGCCTCCCAGGGAGGAGCTGCAGCCCCAGTTCCGCCCCTGCCCTGGATGGGCCCTGCTCCTGCCTGCTAGCCATGACCCACCCAGGTGGCAGCCGAGAACCGGCCCCCCTTGCTTCTCTCAGGTGAAGTTCATCCATGACCAGACCTCTCCAAACCCCAAGTACAGAGGATTCTTCCACGGGGTTAGGGAGATTGTGCGGGAACAAGGTGAGACACTCGACCTTCCCGTTAGGGCTCAGGGACCTGGGCCAGGGTGGAAAGGGCCAGCACCCCCCTCCCCCTCCCCTCCCCCTCCCCCTCCTCCACCACCAATTCCCAGCCGGGGCCTGAGAGGCTGCAGGGTAACCCGGTGCCTGCCTGTCCCCAGGACTGAAGGGGACGTACCAGGGCCTCACAGCCACCGTGCTGAAGCAGGGCTCGAACCAGGCCATCCGCTTCTTCGTTATGACCTCCCTGCGCAACTGGTACCGAGGTATGTCTGCACCACAGGGCCCTGCCTCCGCACACAGCCAGGTACTCTCCTCTCCTCAGCCCTCCCCAACCTCCCCCCACCACGGCGGGTACCCACTGCGGGTGCTGGTCCAGGCTCCTCCCAGCACCCTCTAACCACAACTCACCCCCCGCCCATATCCAGGGGACAACCCCAACAAGCCCATGAACCCACTGATCACTGGAGTCTTCGGAGCTATTGCGGGCGCTGCCAGTGTCTTTGGAAACACTCCTCTGGACGTGATTAAGACCCGGATGCAGGTGGGGGTTAGGGAAGGGGAGGGAAAGGGGGGATGGGGCCAGAACTAGCTGCTCAGCCCCTGCCTGCTTATGTCCCGCAGGGCCTGGAGGCGCACAAATACCGCAACACGTGGGACTGTGGCTTGCAGATCCTGAGGAAGGAGGGGCTCAAGGCGTGAGTGGGGGAGGGGCAGGGCTATTGTCCCCACCTCAGACCTTTCCCTACCTACCTGGCCTCCCCACGCCATCTCCTTTCAGGCCTCTGTGCCTCTCTCTCCAGCACCTGGGGGTTTCGCTGCTAGGGACACTGTGGTGAACTGCCTTCCTCTCCCTGCCCCTCCTCCCACCCAGATTCTACAAGGGCACTGTCCCCCGCCTGGGCCGGGTCTGCCTGGATGTGGCCATAGTGTTTATCATCTATGATGAGGTGGTGAAGCTGCTCAACCAAGTGTGGAAAACGGACTAAGCCTGGAGGGCCACAAGGGGACTGCCCCAGGCACCTCCCGAGTGCCCTACCACCCTTGTCGCACATGAATCCAGTGCAGTAGTGCCAAAAGGCCCCTTCCCACGTCCCTCGAACTCTGTGGTCTGGTCTGTGCATTGTGGCTGTCAAATCCATGTGTCCCATAATGCTGTGTCCCCACTGTGGCCTGTGACACCACCACTGTGCCCCAGTGTCTGGCCCAGCCATGGCTGGGTGTACATCTGGCCTGTGACCCTGTGCCCACTTGTCCATATGCTTACTGTGAGCACTGTGCCTGTGTTTCACGTTCTGTGTCATGTGACCCTGTGCCCCGCCTCCCGGGGTGCCCGTGTGGCCTGGGTCCTCGGCCCTGTAGCCCTGGCCCGGTCCCAGTCCGGTGCCTTCCACCCTGCCCCGGCCTACCACAGCTGCCTCCGGGCCTCGGCCTGGCTTCACCGCATTCCAGGGGCTGCAGCCCCCGCTTCTCCCGCCATTGGCCTTAACTGGCCCTCGGGCCCTCCCTCCACCCAGGACAGGGTGGCACCCGCCACTCTCAGGACCACCCTGCCAAGGCAGAATAAACCGGATCCTGTTACAGCCTCATGTCCTGTGTTCATCCCTATGTGGGCCCATCTATGCATGGGCTTCGGAGGCTGTGCCTCTGCAGGGACCAGGCCACCCTCATCTGAGGACACTGCAGAAGGGGGACAAGGAGAGAACAGTGTCCACCCAGGGCAGGGCACTGTGGCCACAGTGTTGACTCCCTAAGAAGCCGAGCACCAGGCCAAGAAGGATCTGGGCTGCACCCTGGCCTTCCCTGTGGCCTGTGGGCAAGATCCCATGGTGTGGGTAAAAGGGTATGTTCACAAGGCCTTGGGGTGGCCTGGCAGAGAGCAGTGTTCGGAGCAGGGGGCTGGGCCCAGGAGATGAAGCCCCAGGACAACTGCCTGCCGCTCACCCAGGGGGAAGCTTAGGGAAGGGTTGGGTAGCTCACGGCCCCTCTGGGGCATGCCCAGCTCCTCAGTGACTGAAATGAGCTGCTGCTAGGAAGAGGGGATGGATGTATGCTGGGGCCTCTGAACCCCAGGCAGGGGTGTCTGGCCTTTGCTGCCCAAAGGCTTTGGGCAGGGACCCTTCCTTGTTCCTTCACCCAGGCTGGGAGACAGCTGCCCTGGGGCAGTAGGAGGTGGGGCTACCTGGCCAGAGCCCTTTGGGCACCTTGTGCCACAGCCATGAGCCTCAGAGGAAAGTGTCCCTCTGGCTGGAGACCAGAGCTCTGCACTGGCATGTCCCCATGGGGCCAAGTCCTTTCCACAGCCCATGAGCCACGTGGAGGATCACTCAGTGCCCCTGGCTGTGCAGAGAAGCCAGCTTCCTGTCCAAGTGCCTCTGTGGGGGAAAAGTCATGCTTTTGGCTCAGACTGGAAAATAAGCTTTTGCCAGCCGGAAACTCCATATAAGCAGGTCCCATCCCTGGGGAGACTGCCCTGTTCTAGTGACCTCACACAGTACCAGAATCCCAGGAGTGTGCATCTCGGGAGGCGTCTGGGGTCCAAAGGGCCCAAGGTGGATCTGGGAGCCAAGCATGGGCTTGGGGGTACAAAGGGAGCACAGGGTTTTGAAGCCTTGGGGAGAGCTGCCAGGCTGGGAAGGGCTGGGGGTGTCTCAGCACTCAACCTGTGCTGTGATGGGATGGCCAAGCACTCTCTTTGCTCACTTCCCAATCTGTTGCCACAGAGGAGAAAGAGCCCAAGCAACAGAGCCTCCCTCATCCCACTATGCACTAGGGGCATGCAAGTGCCACCAAGAGAACCCCACACCAAGACACTTCCCGTCCCTGGAGCTCGGGCCACTGGTCTGCACCTCAGAAGCTTTCCTGTGGGGTGACAGGCAGTGGACCGCACTGGTCCATAGTGCCAGCCATGAAACTTGGAGGGGCACTCAGCTCTCTGGGGTCTGCCCTCCAGGCCTCAGCATCCATTTGCTGTACTCCCTGCAGGTGCTCAGAATCATGCCTAGGCAGAGCAAGCCCTCACACATCGCAGTTTTTTTCTTGGGGTTGCAGAAGGTTGTTTAGAGTCTCCCCAGGTTCCAGGCAGTTCTGGGAGCAGGCAAGGCCTCACAGATGCCTGAAGGGGACCTCCACCGCCACGTACTCATCTCCAGAGATGCCAGCCACTCACTGCACACATCTACACCGAGTCCTGTCCCTGTCCCCCTTCACAGGAAGGGGCCAAGGATGCACTAGCTGTGAGCAGGGTGTAGGATGGCATAGGTCTCCATCCTCTTTGGACCCCTGCCATCCTTAGGGTCACCTTGTATATGCCTTGAATCACAGGGCAGACATCAGGTAGCCCAGCCAGAAATTGTCACTGAGCTGGGTCTGAGTCCCTTGGGGCCACCTACCCTGGTAGATAAAACCCACACTCTAGGCTGCCTCGCATGTTGCTTCAAGAAGTAGGCAGCCTCCAGCTTGGAGCTGAGACCCAAGGGGAAAGGTGTCTGCAGAAAAGAGCTGGAGGCTGGAGTGACAGGAAGAGGCCTGGAGGGAGCCAAGTTGCATTTAACTAGACTGCAGAAAGGAGGCCCACAGCAGGGACTAGCACAGACTAAGGCCACTGGGGCACCTGCCCTTGCGGGCAGAGGGGCAGAGACACATAGACGGGTCTCCAAGCTAGTCTGCAGGCAGAAGAGGCTTGACTTCTAGCCTGGTGCTCCACCTCTCCCCACTAACCAGGAAGCTTGGTCAGTGCTGGGGAGAGCCCAAGGAGGTGGCTGAGTGCACATCAAGGTTGTGGATGGAGATTCCAGGTCACCATGTCCTGCTCCAGCCAGAGCCACAGTGACCAGCTAAAGTCACAGCCTGGAATCTGAACCTTACGACTATGCCCAGGAGGGACAATGGCCTCAGAGAAAAGGACAAGGGAACAGGTGAGGTGGTGACCACACACAGGGCAGGGCTTGGCCAACCTCCCAGCCTTGTCCTTACCGCTGTGGTACTGAGGCTTTCAGGCAGCTACCCGGCTCCATCCTACCCTTCCCCAGATTCCTTGATAATCCCCTCATTGCTGCATGCCACCTCCCCCCGATCCAGTCTTCTGTGTCCCTGTGTAGGTGAGGAATGGCAGTCAGAGCTTCATATTCAAAAAAGCCAGTGACTCCTGACAGTGGGTCTGTCTCCTCTTAGCCAACAAAGAGAATGCTGGTTTTGGGGTTGTGTCCCTCTCAGCACTGACAACAAACACAATATTGGTCGATGATGCATGAGTAGTATTTTCCCCACTTTTTATTTCCTCTGTGTTTTCACAGATTCCTTGCATAGGGTCTTAGGTAAGGAGCACAGAACCAGGGGCCACCTCAAGACCTGGGAACATGGACTGAACACAAACACACAAGGGACAGGGGCAGGGGTGATGCAGGGACAATGGAGAACTGAAAGGACAGCCTGAAAGGGACGATGGGAGGACCACAGAGAACATCCAGGATTCATGGACAAACATGACAAGGCCAACAACGTGGGTGACCTATGGGAAACATGGTGGCCCTGTAGTTCCACTCCACCCATTCCTACCTGGCAAATATCCCTGAGAGAGCCTCCCTTCTGCTCAGGTTGGGCCAGGCCCTGACCACTGACCCTCCCCAACATGGCCCTTATTACACTGTTGTCACATTTGTCCCCTCTGCCAAACCACACCCAACCTCCACCCGTCGCCCACCTGAGGATTCTCCATTGACTGGGCCTTACCTGGGAGCCATGACTTGGGAGGCTACAGTTAGCCACAGGAGTGTCATCTCCTGAAGTGACCTCAATGGATGCACCATCTCACCCCTTTGCCTCCAAGCTCTGTTGAAATGCCTGCCATGGCCGATGGCTCACTAGCTCCAAGCAGCCCAAGCCCTGTCTCACAAGCGCGGCTCCAGGAGCTCCTGGGACCCGGGGCACATTCCATGCGCTGGGGACTGGGGCCGCCGAGGCTCAAGACCAGCCTGCTAGTCGGCCCGAGGCAGCGCTATGCAGTCCCCTGCTGCCGCTGCCGATGGCCCTGGCCAGTCACCACCTCCTCTTGGGGCCCGGGAGACTCGCCTGGGGTTGTAACGGAGAAAGGAAGGTAAATAAAATGCTGCGATCGTGATCCGGGGGCTCATCCTGCGGGCCCGCACAGGTCACGGGAGATGCGCTGTGCCCGCCAGGGCCAGTAGGAGGGTCGCCTGCGCTGAGGGGCGGGGCCCCCGGCCGCAGACCACCCGGGCCCAGCTCAGTACCCGGGCACAGGGGAGCACCGAGAGGCTTCCTGGGTATCCATTTTTGAAAAAGGAATGAACGTCCTCAGCCTCAGGAGTGGCAGATCCAAGCAGGGAGGGCCGCCAAGTAGGATCGCGTTCCCGGAACACTCGGGCTGTCGGGGCGACCACTTGTGCGCTCAGAAGTGGGGGCGGCGCGCACTGATGACGCCACGACGGCGCGCCCGGCTGTCCGTGGCAGCGGCCGCGGTCTCTGCCACCAGCCCTGACCTTCAGGTTTCACCGCGAGTCCCCACCCTCGCCTGCAGCCCCTGGATTCTCGGCAGCCCAGCCGCATCGTCCACCCTCCCCGAACCTCTGATGGCGCCTCCCCGGAACAGCGGCGGCCCACGCTGAAGGCTGCCCGGGTCATCCTGAGGCGCCAGACTGAGGGGACACTCTCTGGTCTCCCGCTTCTCCCGCCCCTCCTTCCCCCTGCCTGGAGCTGGCCTGCGTGTCCCAGGACTGGGCTTCTTCCTCCGCACCTGCTCCCCACGGCACTCCAGATCGCTGCGGCGGCTTCCTCGCCCTGGAGCATTCTTCCTCCCGCTCCGCCTTTTCCCTGTAATTCGCACTGCCTTTCAGGCCCTGCCTGGCCCGTGTGCAGGTAGAGTGTCTGTTTCCCTTTCCCGAACTGCGCCTTCCCATCTGGTTAACTTTGTCCTCGGACCCACGCTCCCATAGGACAGAGCCTGGGCCCGTGGCTCACGCCTGTGTCCCCTCCACAGGGCCTGGATGGGAGAGTCGTTGGTCACTGCTGAAGGAAGGGAGGGAGGGCCGGAGAGGAGAGGAAGGAAGGACAAATATACTTATGACTCCGTCTTTTCTTCCACTTGTGACTTTTTGTTCCAATATCCCTAGTCACAACCATGTTCCCCAGAGGGCTTCACTAGCCTGTCCTCTGCTCCCACCCACTCCATCCTGCCTGCCTGGCCAGCTCCAGTCCAGCCCCTCGTTGCTGCCTGTGTGCTCATGTAAGGCACGGTGGCCTTGCTACATCCCCATGGAGGAGGAGGCAGGTATAGGCACACCACTCTGAGCCACCTACTCTGGGGGCCTGTTGGCAGGAACAGGACAAGGAGCTGGGGTTGGGATTGTGTCCCCACAGAAGGCAGCAGTGAGCACAGGCCACACGACACTGGCATATCCTGGTTAGGCCTTTCCTTAGCCGGCTCTATTCCTCAGGTAGGAAAACCCAGACCAAGAAAAAGGACCTACCTGGGACCTGTGGAGGCCCAGTCCCTCCCTCTGCCACCTAGTAAGAAAGGATCGAAGATGAGAAGCGAGGAGTGATTGAGAGGCAGCAGGTGGTGTCACATCTGCCCTGTCAGTGAGTTGGTCAACAGAGGTCCTCAGGGGAAATATGGAGGGTCAGCAAGGGGGCTGCTAGCTGCCCTTGTCAGCATCCACCTAGTCTGCAGGCTGCCCCCTGGCCCTGCCGGATGGGGAAAGGTGTGTCATGCATGTTGCCACGCAACCCCAGCTCAGTGTGTAGGTAAAACCCAGGGCCCCAGTGGTGATTAGGGTCCACAAGGGTGTGGGTCTGGAGGGGGCGGGAGCATCCTTCTCTCAGCCTGAGACAGGAGGGGCAGGGCTGTTCCCTGATCACCCAGGAAGGCTGGCTAGGGCAGGGGGTCCACTGATCCACACCCATCTTGGCCCCTGGTGTGCATCTCCTTCTCAGCCCTAGGGCCCGTTGGCCAGGTAACAGCTAGGGAAACATACCAGCTCTTAGCTTTGGACTACTGGGTGACAAGGCCCTGTGGTTGCTGGGAGCCAGGCATCCTCAGCCCGAGCGTTAGCTGCTGACAATTGAGCAACCAAAGCAGATTAACCTGGGTGTTAATCCTCCCTTAATGGCTTCAGAATCCTCGGCTCCAGGAGCTAAGCCGGCCTTTCTCCGTGCGCGGCCGGACCCTCCGGGGCTTCAGCCCGGCAGCGGCGCCGATGCTATCTCTGCCCGCCCGGCCACAGTACCCGCGCTAATCCCCGGCGCTACTTTCTTCCCCGGCCCGCCCGAGATCGGCCGATTGGCGTTTGATTACGGCCGCTATCGAGGGCCCCTTTGTGCGACAGGCCCTAAATCCCCTAATTCTGTGATAAAGGAAGCATTAGCTGGCGTTTGCGGCAGAGAAAGGCACGGGGATGAAAGAAAGCAATCAGGGGATCCGGATGGCCGCGCCCTTGAAGCAGGGTGGCCTCGACTCAGTGCGGGGGCGGCCTTGGCCCCAGCTCCCTCCACCCCAACCAGTCCTGAGCGGGGCCAGCGCCCCCTCCACACCGCCTTGGCTGCCACTTGGCTTGGGAAACTCCTGGGCTCACATGCCAAGGGACCAACGCCCACCTCAGCCTCATTTTCGCAGGTGGGGGACCTAACCCTCCAGCTCCCTGGGCCCTGCATCTCGGCTCTAACTGTCCAAATCCAATTGTCTGTTAGTGCCCACCCAAAGCTCCATTCCTCCCTGGCCTCTGATTCTCCCCCAGCCCCTCCAGATTCCTGAGCCCCTCATCTGCCCCTCTCTTTCAGCACTGACCAGCTTCATCCAGTCCTGGAAACAGCCAGGTCTGTTCTTTAGTCACAGAAAGAAGTGACGGCAGCTGGGAGCACTGGTATTGTCTAGGGAGGTGCAGGTGGATTGTCTAGGGAGGTGCAGCAGGGAAAGCCCCTTTGCAGAGGCAGTGGGAGCCCCAGGATAGGGCAACAAGGAGCCAGGCTGGGTGCGAGCTCTATGTATTGGAGGAGATGGGCAGCTGGGAGTGAGGAGGGAGAAGCCACATGGGATAGATGGGAGAGGTGCCAGAGGCCAGGGCTTCCAGGGACTCAGGACCACTCACCCCGGGCATCTGAAGTGAGGGTGTCGTGACTGGACTTGGCATTTGTGGCAAGCATTGACACCTCTCTGGGGCAGGCTCACTTTGGGGAGGAGAACGGTAGAGAAAAGTGGCTGGGAGTGGGTTCAAAAGCCAGCCACTGTGTGGGTGCAGGTGGCAGACATCCGTGACTGGTGCCAAGGTGGAGGCCGTGCAGAGGGACAGGTGTGGGCAATGTCAGACAGAGCTGGAGGTGGACAGTGAGATCTGAGGTGGGAGTGGGGAGTGCCAAGCATTTCCTACCAGCTGAGGCTTGATCAGTTCTAGAGGCAAGTGAGCGGTTACCAGGATGCACAGGTGAGTGAGTGGGGCATTTACTAGGCAGACAAGTGTGTGTTTACCAAGGTGAACAGGAGTCGAGGTGTGTGTTTACCCAGGTCAGTAGGTGGGGCAGCGGGCCATTTCCTGGGAGGCCAAGGGGATGGTAGGGCACTGGTGGCTCTGTTCAGATCCCCTTTAGGGGTCAGCCTACTGGTCCCGAGCTGCTGACGCCCCTTGGTGGCTCAGGGCTGCCCTGATCTTGGAGAATTGTCCTGGGGAACAGGAGCCACCCACACAGCAGCCCTCCAGACCCAGAGGCAAAACCCTAACAATGTCTGAGGCATCCTCGTCCCCGCTTTGCTGAAAGGTGGTTCTGATCTGTGAAGTTCTCGGTGTCTGCCCCAGCGCATCCATGTGGAATGACGGAAACTGGCCTCTAAGAGAGACAGTCTTCTGCTTGGCAGTCCCCACTCCACCACCCAGTCCTGTCCTGCTTCCATGGTGTCCAAGCATCTCAGTTTTCTCAAGACTAAGGAATTTCCTGGGAAGCAGGGCTTTCAGCACCAAAACCTGGGAAAGCCCCAGGCAAACCAGGATGGTGTATCCCCCTAGGTTTCTATTGTGTCCCCCAAAGAGATGCCCAAGTCCTAATTCCTCATACCTGTGAATGTGAACTTTAGAAACTTGTTTATTTAGGTCTTTTCGGATGTAATTAACATTTAAATTAATTAGCTGGGCATAGTGGTACACATCTGTGGTCCCACATCTACCCTGGAAGCTGAGGTGAGAAGATTGCTTCAGCCCAGGAGGTTGAGACTGCAGTGAGCTGTGGCCACATCACTGCACTTCAGCCTGGGCAATAGAGCAAGATTCTGCCTCTTAAACAAAACAAAGCCACGACAGCAAAAACCACGTAAACTAAGACGAGCTCATTCTGGAGTTGGGTAGGTTCTTAGTCCATGAGACCGATGAAGTCCTCAGAAGAGGAGAGCTGCAGGAGGCCATGTGACGACGCAGGTGGAGATGGGAGTGGGCATCTGTGACCCAAGGAATGTCAGTGGGTCTAGCAATGCCAGATGCTGAGAGAAATGCATGGGGCAGACTGTGCCCTGGAGCCTTCAGAGAGCACGGCTCTGCTGACACCCTGAGGGTTCCTGACCAGAGGTGTGAACAGGTAAGCTCCTGTTGGAAACCATTCCGAGCTCAGCACCACCGGAACGCATGCAGCACAGACTTCCTTGCTCTCCTGAGCACATGTTCAGCAACAGCCTGAGAACAAGAATTCTCACTTCAGGCTTTGCTTCTAGGGAACTCGACCTCAACAGTGGGTCCCTGGTGGGCGGCCCTGGGAAGCCCACCTGAAGGACAACACTCCGAAATTGGCTCCTGCACCGGCGGGATGGCAATGAGGAGCTGTCACTCTTCTGGTGTTTCTAGCATTTTGTGATGTCCTGTCCTTGTAGATGCCAAGGTGGCAGGTGGAGAATTGACCGCCCCAGCCTGGGTCACAGTGTGACAGTAAGAACTGTCCCTGGGGAAACTGGGATGGGAGACAGTGGTACAGTGCCCTGGGTACCTGAGAGGTGGGGAGGACACAGGAACTCCAAGAGCCACGGGACTGAGAGGCTGTTGCTAAGCACTATCAATTCCTGGAGGAGCAAACATGACAGATCCAGACACACTGATCAACAGCATGAAGCAGAGTGCCCCACGCCAGACCCCAGCTCGCACACGCAGAGCCTGGCCTACAGGTGGACAGAAATGAAGATGAGGCCCCAGGGGTTAGTGGGGCACAGCCGAACTCCAGGTGAGGCGGGGGATCTCAACCTAGACCAGGCTTGGCATCAAAGTGACAGCCCTGAGGGTGAAGGAGTGGGATGCTGATGTGTGCGGCGGGATATCTGAGTTGATGCCCTTGAGCACTTGGGTGTTCTGTTTCATTTTGTTTTGTTTTGGGGAGTTTATTTGACATGGAGTCTTGCTCTGGTGCCCAGGCAGAAGTGCAGTGGCATGATCATAGCTCACTACGGCCTCCAATTCCCAGGCTCAACTGATCATCCCACCTCAGCCTCCCAAGTAGTTGAGACTACAGGTGTGCACCAGCATGCTCTGCTACTTTTTAAAAAAAAAATTTGGAGATGGGGTCTCACTTTGTTGCCTAGGCTGGTTTCGAAATCCTGGCCTCAAGTGATCCTCCTAAATCCTTGGCCTCCTAAGATGCTGGGATTATAGACTACTGCATCCAGGCCTTTATACCTTTTATATATTTTTCTTGCTTTATTGCACTAAAACTTCCAGGACAATGTGAAATAGAAGTGTCATGGATATCCTTACTCTACTCTTGATTTTAGGTACAAAATGACCAATGTTTTGCCAGAAAGTATGACATTAACTATAGGCTAACTATAGATTATTAATAAAGTTGTTCGGCTGGGCGCGGTGGCTCATGCCTGTAATCCCAGCACTTTGGGAGGCCGAGGCGGGTAGATCACGAGGTCAAGAGATCGAGACCATCCTGGTCAACATGGTGAAACCCCATCTCTACTAAAAATACAAAAAAAAAAAAAAAAATTAGCTGGGCATGGTGGCGCGTGCCTGTAATCCCAGCTACTCAGGAGGCTGAGGCAGGAGAATTGCCTGAACCCAGGAGGCGGAGGTTGCGGTGAGCTTAGATCGCGCCATTGCACTCCAGCCTGGGAAACAAGAGTGAAACTCCATCTCAAAAAAAAAAAATGGAAACAACTAGTACAGACTTTCAGAAGGGGAAACTCTTCTCATACACTATTGGTGGGAATGTCAGTGTCTACACACACTACGAAGAACAGCTAGAAGTGCCTCAAACAAAGTAAAAACGCCCATTTCATCCAGCCATCATTCCATTCCTACGTGGAAGAGATACCTGCCTTACCCTCCGTACTGCAGTACTCACGATAGCCAAGATAGGAAATACACCTACCTGTTCTTCCATTATGAAGGGATGAAGAAACTGCAATATACATCCAGAGCAGAATATTCTTTAATCATAGAAATGGGTGAAATCTCGTCACTTGTGGCCACGTGGAAAAACCTGAGGAACATTATGTTAAATGAAATAAGCCAGGCAGAGAAAGGCATATACTGCATGATCTCATGCACGTGAATCTGAAACAACTTGACCTCACAGGAGCAGAAAGTTCAATAGTGGTTACCAGAGGCTGTGGGGAAGGGGCGCCTAGGCAGGG